CCAGAGATTTCATGGAATCAGGGCCGCGATCCAATGCAAAGATTGTGCTATACCTTTGATCTTCTTGAGCGCGTCAGTCTTCCCCTTGCAGTTTTCACAAGTTGAGAGTGTCGCCTTCTTCATGCTTACAAGGAAAGGAAACTGGAGTTGCTCGCTCAAGATGTGCCAGAAAATCGAGAAATACGCTGCGAGATGCCTTGCTGCTCACGTTTGCGGTTTTTATAGCTTGATTCTACGGTACAGTCTTTGTAGGACGACGCGTCACCACCAAATTCCTCGCGATTTCAGCGAATAGTCAAAGACGACATAATGCAGAAGAAAATTCCACACGTCTAGATCCGCTGTGTTGCAACTTTAACTGTCTATTCTTCTTATGAGAGACCGATTCATCAAAGCCTGCAAAAGGTTGTCGCGTTTGAACCCAGAACTTAGATTCCAAGTTGAGCAGCAAATCATACAGCAGCAAATGGGTGATTCCCTACTTGAAGTGGTCGTTGCCACTATTCCAACACATTGCGTGGCACCGTGGGATGAACTTCATGATGTTCCTTCTTCTACTCTCTCATAATTGTCCTTGCGGGAACAATTTCGTGGAAATTTCGGCCCCAAAAAGCTGTTTCCCGTGAGTTCGGACCAGTTAATCGATGGTTGTTTTTTATAACATAAAGAAAGGTAAGGTAGGAAAAAACTCTGCTAGTTTACTATTCTAGAACTCCACACCGATCGTATTGACTACGGCTGAGCACCGGCATTATTCATCAGTTTGATCAAAAAATATTCAAGTTTTGAAAATTTAATTCCATCCTTAAACCCTTACGTTAAATTGAGGGTTAAATTTTAAACTAAAGTATGCGAAATAAGAAACCCTAAGAACTTGGCTTTTAGATCAGAAACTCCTGAAGTTCACTTGCAATTGTAGTGATTGTAGGTGTGGGTGTAAACATATACAACGCTAGAACCACCGCCCTTCTTCTCCTTGTCCTTCTTTGGGGGCTCATAATCGTTCTCGACAGAACGAAGAATGCTGTGGTGGCAATCCATCGCCTTGACCACGTCGTCCACATCAAATTTGCCGATCACTACCAGGCTTGACGACTCCCATTCCACCTTATCAACCCCTGTTGTTCAAAAACAAGAAACGATATCAGCTTTCAAATTTCCAATCCACATACCTTTGATCTTCTTAAGCGCATCAGTCTTTCCCTCGCAGCTCCCACAAGTTGAGAGTGTCACCTTCTTCATGCTTGCAAAAGGAGGAAAAATGGATCGAGATTTTTTCTTGAACCTTTGCTGAGACTTTGCAACTCCGAAGAACACGCTGCGAGATGCCTTGCTGCTCACGTTCGAACTTTGTGGCGGTTTTTATAGCTGGATTCTACAGTTTAGCCACCGCTAAATTGCCAAATCGAAGACCATTTCAAAGCTTCTCTCTTGCATTGTATAGAAAGTTTTCAGAGCATACACTGGACTTTCACATGGGCTTCCCTTTCTCGTGCCTCACATTTGACGTCATTTGATGAGTTGCAGCTTTTTGAAATCGCTGACAAAACCCATGCTGGGAGACCAAAGAAGCGTCCTTGACTTAAACTTTTACCCAGAAGGACCACAATCGCGACTGGCCATCAACTTTGTCAAATCCATTCTAGCTGGGAGACCAAAGAAGCTTACATTGATCGCTTAAATCCATGGTAAGATTGAAAGGTCAGTGTACGTTCACGGACCATTTTTCTAAACTTTGAAGCTTGAATAGCATTATACATTCTTCTAAACAAATTAAATCTAGTTTGATACTGTGGCTCTCAGCTCTAGTAAAGAACTCACTTCGTCAAAACATCATTTTTATCCTGCAATTGAAAAGTGACTTCGTTCAAGTCTCCTCCTGTTGAGAGGAATAAAACAAATGGTTTTTTTCAGAGTTCCACTCTTTAAAATGTGATGACGCACGTTCATTTTCAAACTCTTAGGAAGAGAATTAATCTCCTCAAAGTTCAAGGTGAAGAATGAACCACATTCCTTTACAGTCAAATGCACCAGTGCGTTTTCTTTCTTCTTTCTGTGGGATCAATGTTTTAGATTCACTTTTGAACTCTGAACCGAGATAAATTAATGCCCTTGATTGAGACATCAACTTTCGAAATTGGCTTCACTCCCATGAATTCCACATTCAAGAATTTGAGGTGGAAGAGAAAATCTATTTTTACACACAAACACTATTTAACTCACTTCCAGTCATAGTTGCAGCTAGACGTGCAAACGTTCAAA